AAGAATAAAATAGTAGCTAAATTTAGACCTTTAACGTTGAAGAGTTTGAAAAATTAATAAAAGAAAAAATAGATTAAGAAATAACTTAAAAATATGAATAGAAACATTAAAAAGATAAATAAATTACTAAAATTAGAAAAAAAACAATAAATATTTAACCATAATCAACAACAAAAAAAACTATTATATAAAATGTATAATAACGGTAATCACATGTTGCCAATTAATAATAATAAAAAAAATCTTTTAACATAAATATGTTTTCTAAATATGCAATATAATAATTAGAAAGATTGAAAAAAGAGAAAATTAAAAAATTTCACAAAAAAAGCAACTATATACCAGCATCATAATTTTAAATGCAAGCTTAATAAATATCTGAAAATAAAAAACTATTCTAATAATAAGAAAAGAATTATGAAATGTTAAACTATAAACTTCTAATTATGGAAGAAGCGATTTAAAAATGAATTAAATAAAAATTTAAAACGAAGAAGATTTCACTAATTTTGATTTAATGAAAAATTTCTATGTTTACTTTCCACATAATAATTTTGAGAATATAATCTAAATGTAAAAAAAGCCTAAATATTTAATTTTTAATATAAAGCCTTTGAGATTTTCAAAAAGATTTTAAACTAGATCCCTTCATTGTGCAAATTCAAGAATTTAAAATATTATTCATAAATACTAATAAGAAGAAATTTTATAATAATCCAAAAATTAATATATTATTATTAAAAAAGATTAAAACTAATAATTTACCAATGAAATTATTAATATTTAATAAGAAAAATTCGACTCTACTATTTTAAAAGTTGAAAAATAAATATCTTTAATTGAAAATATTAAGTCAAATAAAAAAAGTGTTTTTGGTTAAAAAATAATAATGCCTTTAAAAAATAGTAAAATACCCTCTGAACCTTCTATTTTGAAATTTTAATAGAACACAAATAATATTAATGTTAATTATCTAAAAACTGTAAAAACCTAAGATTATTTTATTTAAGCAAATTGAATAATACTAAAAAGAAATTAAAACACTCATATAATAAATTAAAAGAAAAGTGAATTATTTATTTTATAAAAAGTACAAAATAGTTTTAAAATATTAATTTTTTAAAAATATAATTGTTTATACTTAATCTTTTCATTAAATTATTTATTTATTTAAACAAAAAAATCATTAAATTGACTTATTTATTTAAAAAAATATATTTTTTTATTTTTGATAATAATAAATAGAATATAATTTTATATATTTTTTATATATCATTCTCATTAATTTTTTATTTATTTTAAAATTGTCTATTTATTAAATTTTAAGCTTTTAATAGTAAATGTAACTATAATCATAAAATTAATAGAAAATGTTAATAATAATATAAATTATATTTATACAAAAAATAATATTAATAAAATTTAATTAATTATTAAGATTTATACATATTTAAAAAAGTATTTTATTTAAATAACAATAAATATTTACACATACATAAGATAATCATAAAATAAAAATTATGTCATTTTTGTTTCTTCATAGTCAAAAATATATTTAAAAATACCATTAGGTTATTTTAGTTCTGTCAACTATATATTTATTTCATCAGATTAAACTAGTATTTTTTTAGTTATTCTGTAATAGTATGCATTATAATATTTAAATATTTTTCTTTTTTTATTAAATTAAAAATCAATTTTTTTCAATAATTCATTAGTTCTTTATTGACTATCAAGCACCTGTTTTCTGTATTTTTATATAATCAAATGATCTTAAGCATAAAATCTTTAATTATTAATTTCAATGAAATCTTAATTTATTATTATAAATAAAAATAATCATTTCAATATATTTTTATATTTTTTAATTAATTTTTTTTATACAAAGAAAAATAGTAAGTTAAATAGGAAAAAATCTTAAAAATATAATATTCCATTTTTAAATATATGACAAAGAATAAAATAGCTATTTTAAGTTATAGGCAAATTAAAGTATAAAATTATTTTTAAATTTATATATTTAAATTAATTAGTCTATAATGGTTTTTAATTATATTTTTATAATATTTATTTTTTTATATAGATATTTTAATTTTAAATGTTTTTTTTTTTAAAAAAGAACTTAAAAATATAAATAAAATATATTTTATTAGAATACTTATAATAATTTATATATTATTTTATTTTAAATATATTGAATAGTTTTTTTTATTATGAAAAAAATCTTATAAAATAAAATATAATATATTTTGTAATTAATATTAATAAATAAAAATTATAATGAAATATAAAATTTTAAATATCTTTTTTAAAAAATATATTTATTAATTTATTTTAATTTAATTCATATTTTTATTGTAATTTCTAATTTAATTATTAATAAAATTATTATTATTATTATTAGTATAATATTATTATTATTATTAATATTATTATTAATATTATTATTAATATTATTATTTTTAATATTATTACTGTAATTCATATCAATTATATAAAATAATATTTTTTTTATTTATTTATATAATTTTTATTTTTATAATTATTAGTATTTTGATTTTTACAAATAAATTTATTTTATATATAATAATTTTTATAAATAATATTTATAATTCCATTTAATTATCTTAATCTAATATAAAAATAATAATATTAAAATGTCTTGTAAAAATAATTATATTTATACATTATTTTTTTTAATTTTATATATTTTTTTAAGTTTAAGATTTTTGTAGTGTTCTTAATTTCTTTGGTGGAGTTTTATACGTTAATAAATTATATTTGTTTTTTTATTTATCAAAAATATAAAACAAAAATAGATTATTTTAGCTATTTTAGTTTAAGGTGGTCATTAATTCTAAGAATGGAAAATTACTGATTAAAATTAATCTAAATATGCCTTATATATATCTGCTGCGGTACTATATATTTTTAAAATAATTTTTACACTACTTTTAAGATTCATTTTGTATTAAGTTTATTTTTTATTATTTGGAAAGTATATAGAGAAATAAAAATTTAAAGATAATAAGATAATGTTTAATACGGATTTTATAATTAATTTGGTACAGATTCTTAAGAAAATTAAAACATTGTATAATATAGCTTTGGTAGTGAAATTAATAATTCTTAATAAATATCTTAACCTTATTTATTAAAATAAAATTAGCCAAGAATTAATTGATCAATATTATAATTAATTTTAAAAATTATAAAATAACAAATAATTTTTTTTAAAGACATTAAATCATTTAATTTTTTTTTTTTTACATATATCAAATTTTAAACATAAAATATTAAAAACTTAATTTCTTATATCGAAAAGTTTTTTAAAATTAATTACAAATCTTTAAATTTTTATATATCAACATATATCTTATTTTCTTTAAAATTAATTGATGATATTTAATAAATTTCAAAATAAAAATATTTATTTAAAAATTAATAATAGTATTTTTTAAAATATTATATATTTCTTTACCTGATTTTTTTTATTTTTTAATATTTAAATGAATATTAATGATAACATTTAAAATCTTAATAATTAAATAAGAAATTAATTAGAAATGAATTAAAGATTAAAAGAAAACAATCAATCATTAGAGCAATAAATATCTCTTTATAAATAAGAGAAATTCGGATTAATACAAAAGTAAGAATAGTTAGAAAACATTTTAGATGAAATGATGTAAAAAAATATTCAGTTATAAAAATTATACGAAGAGTGTGAATAATAAAGAAGAAATTTAGAAAATACTAAAGAACAGTATTAATTTGATATAGAAATGTAACTAGAAGAAATTGAGAATTTGAAATCACAATTTAGTGATAACGTGAAGAAAATGATTCAATATTAACAGAAATAAATAAAATAGGAGTAAGAGTTAATTGAATACAAATAATACATAGAAAGTCAAAAAAATGGAATAGACTAATGCGTAAATGAGAACCAGTAAAAAATAAAAGAGCTTTAAAAAATATAATAATAATAAGAGAATTTTATCGAATAATTAAAAAATGAGCTTATTTAATAGAAGAAAGACGAGTAAAATTAAAAAGAAATATTTGAATAAGAAAAAAGTTATTTTTAAAAAGAAATCTACTATTATTAATAATAAATAGATGAAGAAAAAGAGAAAGTATATAAAATTAATAAAAGCCTTGAAAAATTAGAAAATGAAAATTAATAAATTATTATTGATTACAAATGGATTTAATAAGAATTTGTAGAATAAAAGGATCGAATTTAAAATGAAATTAATAAAAATATTGATTTATTTAATTTAAATAGAAAATTCGAAAATACTATTGTTGAAAAAGATGATTGTATAAAAGAGTTAAAATTAAAAATTCAAGAGAATTAATCTTTTAATTAAACATAATTAATTTTAAATGAAAACTAAAGTAAAGAAGTATAATTTTTGAAAAACACTATTAATAAGATAAACGAAGAAACAAAAAATCTATGTAAATAAATTTAATAATTAAATGAATAAAAAAATGAACTTTTATAAGAGTGTAGAAATTTGGAATTCAATTATAATTAATTGTAAAAAAGGTGCGTTATATTAGAAAATTAAAATCAAGATTTGAAAGAAAAAAATAATATATATAATAATGAAATTTAATAATTAAGCAAATAAAATGAAATCTTTTATTAAGAATAACTTATATATCAATAATTTATTGATAAAAAACGCATTTTAAGAGAAAATAGACTAAAAGAAGAATAATAATTAAAATAAAGTTTATGTAACTTGAAACATACTCTTGAAAATAATTTTAATTATTAAAAACTATTATGAATTTATTTAGAAATAGTTAAATTAAATATTTAAAATTATAAAATTCAATTAATTGTATATTTTTTTTTTTATAATTTTTATTTTTACTTTTATTATTTAATTTTATTAAAATAATTTCTTTTATAAATTATTTAATTAAATATTTTAAGATTTATTAAATAACTCTTGCCACCAAAACATCAAATAAATATTTTTTCATTAATCATTTTGTTAATTTTGCCCATTTTTTTAATTATTTTTATTGTTCTAAATCTAATTTTATTCAATTAATAAAGGTTGCTATATTTCAAGTATTCTTTATTAAATAATATTGTCAATATTTTAGATATTTTAATTTTATTAATTATTATTTTATTATAAAGGTGCTTAGATATTATACATATCAAATTTATCTATATTATTAAAGTTATTATTAATATTAACATATATATTATTAAGGTTGATATTATTGTTAGTATTAGTAATAATTACATTATTTACATTTTATTTCTATCTTTGTAATATTGTCTCTTAATGATTTTGTATTAAATTTCCTTAACTTTAATAAGTTCCACATACATTTTTTAATACAAAAGTAATTACAGTTCTTCCTATTTAAACAGCTTTTTTTTCTTGATTTATTTCAATATTGTTTTTAAGTTTTATTAAGGTGCCAAATTTACTATTATTATCAATTATTAAAAATTGATTGTTTATATATTTAATCATTGAATGTGTTCTACTTACTGAAATATCAGAAATTCTAACTTCAGAAGAATGTCCCCTTCCCTTTTTTTTTAACATATTATTAAAAAAATGATATTATATAAATATTTTACAATTTTTATTTCTTTTTCATTTTCATCAGTATAAAAAATGAATAGATTTTTAAAAACTTTTTTATCTTTTTCTAATGATTCAAATATAATATGAGGTTTTTCTGGAATATCAATTTATATTAAATCCTTAATTTAATTTTTATATTTAATATGTTTTGGTAATTAAGTTTTGCAAATTTCACAATCGCTTTTTTTCCAACTTATAATTTAAACATTATCGAGTTTTCTAACCTTTAGTTTTGAATTAATCCATCCCTTTAAACACTCGAAATGGACAAATTCACAAGATCCTTTACAATTACAAGGATTAATTAAAAAGTTTTCTTCACTTTGATCATCACTTAGGCAAATTTTGCAAATTTTAGCATGCTCTGCATTTGAATTTTAAAGATTATCATTTTACTGGATATGCATCTAATAATTATTATTTATTTTAATTTAATATTTTTTTTTTTTTTTTTTTTTTAGTTTTTTTTTACAAATTATTATGTGTCAACTTTAAATATTTAATTTTAATTATTCTTTATTTACATAATTTAATACTCTATTCTTCCAAATTTGACTATATCACCTGCTTATAGTGTATATCCTTTTTGAACATTTTAATGATTTTTTAAGCTTCTAACAATCAAATAAGGTTCAAGTTAATTTTATGAATTTAATGTTCTTAAACTATCTTTTGTAGGATTTAATTCAAAAGTTAATGCTCCTATTTATAACAAAAATAAAAACACTATATATTTATTATTTTTATTCTATATTTACTTTAACTATTTTAATTAATATCAATAGCTGCTAAAAACAATGCATTTTGATTATTCAAATTACGAATATTGTTACTAATAATTGGTTAATTTATTATTACGAGATCTTCTTTATCTAACTATTATTGTTCGGCAACAGGCTAGTTTTCTATTAATATATTTTTTTATTATTTAATCCTAAATTAAAAATTTATTTATAATTAAAATGATACTTAACGCATATATTTCACATGATGATTCCACTTTTAAGTACTTTAAATCAACTTATTTGCTTTCATAATCAAATAATCCATGAGAATCTTTATTCCATGTAACAACTTTTAATTCAACTCTTTTTTTATAAAAAAATTAAAAAATATTGCGGTTTTTTTTTTTTTTTAGTAAATTCATTGTTTATTTTTAAATTTTGATTATTAATTACAGATATTTTAGCTACTTTTGCTATACTTAAACAGGAGCTTTTTATATTAGTTATTAGATTTTAAAATTTTAGCTCATTAATAGTATTATTTTTGTTCAAAATTTTATATATAAGAATTTAATTTTTTTTCTAAATTTTTTCTTCAAAAAAAGAAAAATATTTTATTTATATATATAAATAATTTAAAATTAATATTTTTATTAAATTATTCAATTTTTAAATTTCTGATAATATAATTATAATTTTATTTATTTTTTTGCTAAATAATTTATTACTATATATTTTTCTTTTATAAGATATTATTTAAATTAATACTTAACCAAAATTACCTTATTAATATATATATATATATTTATTGAAATTTAAATCATTTACTGCATATTTTATTTTAAAAATATTATTATGAATTAATTTATTAATAATTTTTTAATTAAGTGTATAACTAATAAAATAAAAAATCTATTTTACAAAAACATAAATAACTAAGACTTTTTAAAATAATACAATTGTAATTGTAATAAAGCATTAAAATATTAAATTGTAAAGTAAATTTAATTTAAAGTTTTAATTTAAATATATTTTTAATTTAATAATGTTCTATATATTGTTGTAAATTAAATACAATATAAACCTTAAATGTAAATATTCTTTATATTTTAATAATGTTTTAAATATTATAATTTTCATATATTATTTTTATTAAATTTAATGTCTATTTATATAACTAATTTTAAATATCTTTTATAATGTAAATTTATGTGTAAATAAACAAGTATAAGTTATATATTCATATTTCACTTAAATTTATTACATTTTTAATAAAATAGTTTTAAAAAAATCTATAAAATATGTCAAACAAAATTAAATTGATTATTTAAATAATTAAATTAAAAACTCTATAATACAATTATTAAATTAATTAATAAATGTTAAATATAAAACTGATTTTATTAAAAATATATATTATTAAACAAAATTAAACTAAACTTGAATAAAATTTCCTTTTTTAATTGTAAACAATTAAAAAAAAAACTATTTAATATTTTTATAAAATGATTAAAATATATCTATATCATATTAATTAAAACTTTTTTTAAAAAAATTTAAATAAAAAAATTAAAATTAAATGTAAATATAATTAATAGTGATGCAAACCAGATTAGATCAGATTATAATCTATTGACGCTATTTTCGAAAATAAATCCTATAATAGTATTTTTTGAAAAAACAGAATATAATTAATTTTTTTATTGTGCTATAAAGAAAAATAAGAATAATCTATACTTTTAATTTAAGATATTAAATAAAATACCTATACTAAATGTTTCAATATTAATTTTAATTAAATATAAAATATAAATATTTAAGAAAAATTTATAATAAAAGTTTTTAATTTTTTGTTTGTTAATTTTGAAAATTCAATTTATTTAATAGACTAAATACTATATATAAATATAAAAAAGAAGAAAAAAAAAATGATTCCTTATTTTTAAGTAAAAAAATAAAGCCTTTGTCTTAATAATGTAAAAGTTAAAATATAATAATTAAATTTATTAAATAAAATTAAATAAAATTTATAATATTATATAATTTAAATTGATTAAGTTTTGTGTAAATTATATATACTGATTTAAAGATAACTTATATACATATAAATAAAATTATTTACTTATTCTATGTACTTATTATACCCTTGTTTATTTATTTATTGGTTAGAATTATTTATGAATATGATATTTTAATTCTTATTATTTTTATTTTTTTTCATTTCTTTAAATTAACTGATTAAATGTAAATTCTAATGCTTTATATAGTAACCATTAAAAATAATTAATTAATTTACAATCTAATTTATAATAGAACGATAATATAATTATTTTAATTATAATTTAATTTTGATGTTTAAAAATAATGATTTTATTAAATATAATTATTAACTATTTAATAGTTTTATTAAAAATAAAAAATAATATTTCCTTTTTTATTTTAACATTAGATTATAAAAGTTATTCAATAAAATAACAAAAATTAAAAAATACTATAGATACTCCATTTATACTACAGAATAATAATTTGATATATGAAACTATTAAATATTAATTATATATTAAGTATTTATAATATTTAATTTTTCATTAAAATAACTTTATAAATTAAGATACAAATAATTAAATTAAAGAAATTATTGATTTAATAAAAATATATATCTATTGCTTATATTTATTTATTTATTTATATAATTTTTTGTATAAAAAAAAATAATCAATAGAAAATAAGCTATATCCATTTTTTTTCCACTTTTTTTGTTTTTTCTGAATTTTGTTTAAAAATTAAAAAAATCAATATGAACAAATAAAATATAAAAATACCCAAATAATATTTTAATTTCCTAATGTATATTAAATTGTTACTCTGTATACAAATGCTATTATTATAAGAATAAAAAATACGATTCGCAAATCCATTAAATATATATTATAGCAAAGTTTTCTCAATAGAAAAAAAAATTTAAAAAAGAGGGGTCACTTATTTTAATAAAAAAAATATGATTATTAACAAATTTTCATTTTATTATAAATATTAATATATATTTAAAATACATCATATTTTTTTATATTTAAAAACTTAAAATCTCATTAAATAATTATATTATTTTTTTATTCATATATTATAATTTTTTAAAATAAAAAAATATTTATATTTTTATAAATTTTGATGTATTTTTAATTATACTATATATTTTTATTTTATTAATAGTGTTAATAAATTTTTCTTAAGAGCTATAAATATTAAATTATTCAATAAAATTAAGAATTAATTAAATATTTGTTTCTTTAATAAGATAATAACAGAAATATTATTTATTATGAAAGTATTAAATAAATAAAACTTTAATTTATTTAATATAAATAATTTTGAGGTTATAGTTTTATTTTAAATATCAATCGAACTTATTTTGCAATATTTATTTAATATTACATAGAAATATAAATTATTAACATTTTAAATAATAATAACTAATATGTTTAATATGCTTGAAAAAACATTTTTATGGATATTAAAATAAATACACATAATTTAATAGTAAATAAAAAAATTTTACTTGCACTGATGTTTTTTATATTATTATTTTTTTAAATCTCGATCAAAAAAAAAAGCAATTGATTTAAAATTAATGAAAAAATAAAACAAATATCAGAAAAATTAATATTAAAATTTTAAAATAATAAGGAATAGTAACTATAAATAAGAAAATTTATTAATACCAAAGTAATTCACATGTTTATATTAGTTAATTACTAAATTGATTTTATAATAATGTTTTAATTTAAAATTAAACACTAAATTTTCCAGATTTAAATACTATTAAGTTCATTTGGAAATAATAAAAGTTAAAATAGAATAATTATAACTGAGTAATTAATATAGATTCGAATTGATTTTAGAATAATTTCGGAAAAAATTATATAAAATAAAATTGAAAATTATATTAATAATATATTAAATAAAATGAAAATTATTACAAAAGTTAAATAAAATTTTTATTTATATTATAAAATTATATATTTATCCAACAAAATATTTATTTAAAAATTACATATAAATTAATAATTTAAATAGACGCATTATAATGAAACTGATTTTATTTATATTTTTAATAAATTATTTTATATTTTTTATTATCATTAAAAAATCATTAAAATTAAAAAAATAATATTTTCTTTATATATATTATTAATGTATATTCTATTATTATATATATTTTTAATCATATTTAATATAATTTAATGTTAAGTTATTAGTTATTACTTTTTAATTTATCCTTTTTGTTTATTTTATTTTTAAAAATATTAAAAAACTATTTTTTGGATAACATTTTTTCTTATAAGACATATTATTAAATGAAATTTTATTGATATAATAAAATTAAAAAAATTAAATAAATACCCAAGTTTTATATTAAAAATGTAAATATTCCCATTAGAAATAAACTTATACAAATAAAATATTATTTTAATAAAAATTAAAAACATAAATATAATTATTTATAAATTAAATAAGCAAAATATAAATGAAGTGTATAAATTGCCTATTATTGTATTTTTTTAAGAGTCTAAGTATAATAAAAATACTTTTTTTTATTGAATTGATAAAAAGCATTTATAATAAAACTAATTTTTACATTTATATTATTTATTTAATTTAAATCGTTTTTTAAATTAAAATATTAAAATATGAATCATTTAATAAGAAATTTTTATATGTAAATATTCAGGCTGATGAAATGATATAGTTGAACTATAAATAGTTCTCTAGAGAAGTAATTTATGTAAAAATAATTAATTCTATATTCATTCTTTACCCATTTTTACTATAATTAAAAAAGAAAAAAAATCTTATTTTAATTTTTGATGAAAATAATTAAAAATAAAATATTTATATAGTTTTTTTAAAAATTGCTATTAAAAGGTTAAAAAGATTACAGATAAAAAAATCTTTAATTATATATATTAACTAAAAGAAAATGGAATTATATAGCATAACATTATACTTAATTATTATAATAATATCTTCTTTTGTCGGTTATTAAATTGTCTTAAAAGCTATAGTTAATGATTATGAAATAAAAAATTAAACAGCAGAAATTATATATTGTTTAATTTTTGCATTTTCATGTAATAGTTTTATGCTTCTGATTTTCGAAGTATTGAAAATTGGAAATGATTAGGATAGATTAATATTTTGGAAACTTACAATTTAGGCATTAGTATACTCTTGTATTATTTTAATTCCTTTTATTTTAATTTATAAAATTGTAAGAAAACTTTGGAATAATACATTAATTCAATTTTTAAATATAGGAATATTATATATTTACTTTATTCTTAAATTATTTGAAGTTTAAAAATATATGAAAGTTAATTAACTTGAAGAATTACTATAATTAGGAAAGCAAATAGAATTAATAAGTAAAAAACACTTTAAACATAACATTTGTTTTGTACTTTTTTTTTAAATCATATTAAAAAAAAATAATATTTTAAAAATAAAATATTTTATAAATTAATTAATTTAAGCTATGGTTGGAACTTATATGATAGCAATTTTATCAGGAATTGGTTGTGTGGAGTGTCCATATTATTATTTTAATTTCATTTATTCTAATAGTATTTTATTATAATTTTTAATCTATTAATTAAATTTTGATTAGTAAAAGATATTAAACAATCTAAGGTTTGTCATGAAGAAAATCTAAAATATTTGTTAAATAAAATGAGTGAAAATAAATATAATTAAATACAATTAGCTAAAAAAATGTAAAAAGGCGATTTCAATAAAATAAATAAATAAAAGGAATCATTTTTTATGAAAATGTAATTTAAAAAAAAAAAAAAATTATATTTATAAAAAAAAAAAATTCTTTATTATAAGGTTAAACCTATTAAGTTAAAATACTAAAGAAAAATATAATATAGAAGAAAAATATAATTTTAATTAAAAAGAAATAGAAGTATATTAAGAAAGTAAAATTGAAACTTTTAATAGTAAATATTCTAAAAATTAAAAAAAATATATACAAATTATATAATTATAATATAATTTGTAAATAAAGAAATAATAAAAATATATATACAAAAATATTTAATTAAAAATTTAATTATATGTAAAAAATAGATAAATAAAAATATATATATAAATAAATATATACATATATATATAATATAAATATATATATATAAATAAATTTTGGATTTGCTAATATATATATGTATATTTATTTAATTTATATTAGATTATTAAGAACTTTAAATAGAAATTTAAAGACATGAATATTCATAAACTTTTAAAGGAAAATTTTTTAAATTTCTTAGTTTTATAATGGGAATATACTGCATTTATAGAATAATAATTGTAAAAAATAATATATAAATAGATATATAATAAAAAAAAATTAATATTAACATCAATTTAGTCTTAACTTTATTTTTAATATATCTTTATATCTTTTAATTTATTTATTTATTTAGAGCATTTACAATTATACAATTGGAAGATAAAAATCGATAGACCCAATTAATAGAATTTTATAAAATATACTTCCTTTAGTCGGAATTATTATAAAAGATGATGATTATGATACTGCAATAAATTATTTATCATTTACTTTTTTAGGTATTTATTTATATTTATTATAACATATAAATTATAATTATTAAAGGTTTTCTAATGATAACTAGTGTTAGAACTTTTTGTATTAATTTAGTCAATTTTACAGGAATATTTATTGGTCATTTGCATTCAAGGAGTGTTGATACAGACATAATTGTTTATTTTTTAGCTGAAATAGTTGGAGTTTATTTTATTTCTACTTTAGTTCTTATTTAATATAGTGTCGCAGAATAATACTTGTAATTAAAAATATAATTAATTATAAGTATAATACATTAAATAAAAAGATAAAACTTAAAAATAATTACAGGAGATTTTAGTTTATAAATATATTACAAAATTTTTGATTTGATTTTCTTATTAAGTTCATTAGGACAAATGATATTTTTACTTATTTTTAATATTAATAAAAGTAAGCAATTAAAATACTGTAAAGAAGATATATTTCAGGATAAATATTGATTGTTTTTTAAATATTTATTAACTTAAATTTATAAAATAATTATTAAATTATGTATTAATATTTTCTGATTAAAAAAATAATAACCGCGTAATTATTTTTATATATAAAATTACATATAAAAATTTTATTTATAAATTATTTTATACTATTAAATATTTATAAAAAAAAACATCAAAAACAAACAAAAACAAATATTAATTTAATGCCGCCTAAAAAATAGTCACAAAAAAATACATTAGAATAAAACGGTTAGAGTTAATAATAAGAATTAAGTTCAAATTTAGTTAACATAAAATATTTATGGAAATTAGACATCAATTAATCAATAGGATATGGTATTCCTGAAAGTTATTAAATATCAGATAAAATAGCTTCGTTTGATATGGTAAAATTTAATTAAATTATTTAAAAATAATAATAAATAAAAGGACTATACATTAATTAAAACTAAAAGTGGTAAAAAATTCCCTTAAAATGAACATGATTGGATTCTTTGGGATTAAAAAGTTAAAACTAAATTAACTTAACTATATAAAGATGGATATTTAGTAGTCATATTTTCTAATCAAGGAGGAGTTGGTAAAGGACATACTACGGATAAATAAATAACTATTAAAATTACTAATATAGCTAATACAGTATTTTAAAATTAATATATATATTATAAACATAAATAAAGATAGGAATTCCTATTATTGCTTTTTATGCTAGAAAAGAGGATGCGAATAAAAAACCAAACAAAGGTAAATCTTATTAATATTTTTTAGTTATTATAACTAAAATACATAGGAATGTGGGAGTTTTTCTTGGATTAAGTATTAAAAGGCAATACTGTTAATTTAAGCGAATCGTTTTATTGTGGAGATGCAGCAGGAAGAAAAGGACCTCCTAAAGACTTTAGTGATTCTGACTTGTTAGATAATATATATATATATTATTATTAAATATTAATTATATTTTTTTTTTATAAAAAAAAAAGAAAATTCGCTCTTAATATTAATTTAGCTTTTTTCACACCTGAATAGTATTTTTTGGAAATAAAACAATAAATTTCTTAAGAATTTTTTGATCCTAAAAAACTGCCTACAACTGGTGATTTATTCAAAGAAAAAAATGTTGTATTGAAATCAGATAAATAAGAAAGTAATTAAAAAAATTAATTCTATATATATATTTAAAATTTTTAGTGATAATTCTTATTGGATCAGCAGGGTCTGGAAAATCAACTTTTGTATATAATCATTTGTAAGATTATCAAAGAATTAATAGAGTAAAAATTAATTATAAATTAAAAAATATTAAATAAAATAGGATGAACTAAAAACAATGCCTAAATGTTTATAAGTAGCTGAGAATGCGATAAAAAATAAAAAAAATATTGTTATTGATAATACTAATCCTACATCAGAAGCAAGAAAAGACTTTGTAAGTCTTGCAAAGAAATACAGTTAAAATAAATTAATTTTTTAATTAAATAACAATTAATAAAAATAGATATACATTTAAGAGCTTTTGTTTTAAGTGTTGATAAAGATCTTGCAATGCATTTAGATAATTAAAGAGAGACTAATAAAGAAAGAAAACATTTTTCAAAAAGAGTAGGTAGAATTCCTATTCATACCTTTTTCAAAAATTTTTAAGAACCAACTAAAAATGAAGGATTTGATGAAATAGCTCATATAAACTTTATTGCTGGTCCATTTTTAAATGACAAAGATAAATAAAACTTTTTTAGTTTTGGAAAATGATTCAATCTAAAAATATTTTAAATATTATTTTTATAAAAATAAATAATTTATATATTTTTCTATATTTTTTAACTTTAATATATTTTTTATTTTTTTTCTATTCTTTTAAAAAAAGATATTTAAATTATTAATTTATTATATTATATATATTTATATATACATAGTTAATTAAAATAAAATATGAGCAAATAAAAATAATAAAATACAATAGATGAAAATTTATAACAATAAGAAGAGAATAATTCTAAAGAATAAAATTTTACTTTATTTTAAATAATTTAAAATTTTTGGATATAATATAAAATCTAATAGTCAAAGAAATTAAAATTAATGGATACTTTTATTATTTATTGTATTTTATTAATATTTATTTAAACTGCATATTTTTTAATTGCTGGTAATTTTCCTCAAAATTCTCTTATTGTTGGAATTTTTACGCCATTAGGTTCAGCAACTTTAACTAGTATTTTTTTTAAATTAATTTTAATATAAATTTTTATTATTTTTTATTCTTTAAAAAACAGTATGTTTAAGATAATAAATTAATTAAAAAACTCAGTAAAAAAATATTAATAATGAACGATATTTTTGGGAATATTATATTTGCATGTATATGCTTTTTATGACAGGAATAAACTATTTAGGTTGAAAAATTAAATTAATTTTAAAAAATAGTAATTTTATATAATAAAGTAATTTTTTTTTTAAAAATAAAATATATATCTTTTATAATAATACAACTATTATTTAATATTTTCTTGATAAAATTTTCATTTATATTACGATAAAGATTTTGGTTTTATTTATAAATCATTCATATTCAAGTTATAAGAAATTGATTTTATTCTTTATGCATTAATACCTAAATTATTAGGTTATTGATGATTCATTTTATTTTTGCAATTATTATTTTTTTCAAGATTATCTAAAGGTAAACTAATTTTAGAAGGAGTTTAATTCTTTTATTATAACTTAAATTTTTAAGATCTTTTACTATAAACAATAATCTTAAATTAATAAACAATATAACCTTATTTATTTAAAATTTCAATTAAATATTCTCCTTTATCTTGTTTTTTAGGATATCCATTAAATATAATTGCGTTTTTCAAAATTTCATATTAGATCCATATATTATTGTTTTTGAATTAAGTTATTTTATTAAACGAAGAATTAAAGGTTATATTTTTATTTTTAGAGTGTTTTCTTTAATAAATATTTATTTATTTTATACAATCCTAATCTAAATGAATAGTTTCACCAATAGTGTTCATAAATAATGAAGGTTTTTAATCTAAAGTAAATCCAAATAATTCAGCTTTAATACTTTAACAAATAAGTTTAATATTATATTAAAAAATCTAATTGTCGATATTTTCATATTTAGATATTATATTTTGTAATAATTCTTCTACTTATTAGTCCTTAATTACATATTCATCAAATAAATATTTTTTATCATCTGTATTACTTTTGACGAATTAGAATTGATTATTTTATTAATTATCTATTTCTGATTTTTAAAGTATTAAATTTTTGTACCAATCTCTATATTTATACTTATTTAATGATTATTTAAGCATTTTATACGCTTTTCGTGTACTTTCATTTATTTTTAGAATTTAATTAATTACTATGCTTGACAAAGCAATAATTAAAGAAGAATTTTCTTAAAAATCTTCTTTACTTAATTTCGGATATAAAGAAGGCTTTTGGCTATAAATAATTTGAAAATCATTCAAAAGTTCATCAACATTTATTGTTTATTGATCAGTTAAATAGTTATAAATATAAAGTTGATTTTCTTATTCTTCTTAATAAACAAATATTTTTTTTTAGATTTTGTTAATCATATTATATGAATATTAATATATGTATAAAGGTGAGAGATTGATTTTTTTATGAAATTACTAATCTATTTAAACTTATATATCTGAATATACATAATAGTGCTTTAAAAATTTCTTATGTATTTTAAATCTAAGAAGATATGTTAATATAATTATTATTGCAGGAATTAAATATTTCAAAACTTCAAAAAATATATACTCTATAGGAATATTAGAAAACTCTATATCAAATTAGTCGTTTAAAGAAGAATATTTATCAGAAATAGTTATTTAAATAGTATATTTTTTTTTATAAGAATTTTTATTAAAATTACCCTAAATTTAGTTATTTATTTATTGTAATTCTTATAGTTTATTAATTTCAACAAATTAATTATTTTATTTTAAATAAAATGTATAATTTAATTGTAAACCTTCTTAATAGAGAATATGATTTTCATAAATTTAAATCGTAAATGGCTTTTCTACAGTTAAACCAAAAGGAAATTATTACCAATACATTTATTATGATGAATATTTTAAACTAATAGGTTATTTATATTTTAGAAACGTCAAATCTTTTAGATAAAATTTTTTAATAAAATTATTATTTATAAAATCTTAAACAGTAAATTATATTTATGTATGTTAATCAAAAAAAGAAAGTAAAACATCATTTAATAAAAAATTATTTATTTCTTGAATATTTCCAGATAAAGATAAATTTAATTTATCTTGAGATAATAAAAATAAATACTTATTAAATTATAAAGTTTAAACAAAAACTGGTACTTAATATTATTGATTAAATATAATTTATAAAATAATTTATACTCTATCTGAAAAAGTATGTATTATAACTTAATTTGATATTTTAAATTCAAAATCAACTAATAATGATTCTTTTGCAAAAAATTATAATGGTATAAATTTTTTTAAATTTATAAGAATATTAAAAACAAATTTAGAAATTAATATCTAATTTTATTCAGGCAGTAAAATACTTTAATCAATAAGAAAATATAAATCTTAATTAAAAAATTCAGTTAAATATCCATTAAATGATAAAATTCCTATATTTATCTAAAAAAGTTTGATTTTTTTTAAAAATAAGAATAATATTATAATATAAAAATAATAATAATATATTATATTAAATTACTAAATAATTAAAAATAGTTTTTGACATAGATTCATTTATTTATAATTCATTTTTTATAAAATTTTAACTCGAAACCTAGATAGATATTTCAATTATAATAATTTTAACACCATTGTTTTTTGTTATATTTTAGTCTATTAACACATATATTGTATAATCATTTTCGTCTACTATATTTATCCAAGTTGGGACCAAATAATAATTTCCATTTACAACTTATGCTATTTTTAGATTATTTTAAAATTTTATAGGGCTAATACAAATACTAACATTTTCTCCTATAATCAGAACATTTTTATCTTATGTTTTATTTAATATATTAAATAGTTATAGGTTTTATTTTTTTAAATAATCTTAATCGGTTCTATTAATTTAAATATGTAATTATACTGGATTTAGACATGAACATATTTTTACTCCATAATTAACAGTAAAAGCGAAAACTGATAAATCTTCATCAATAACACACCCATATGAATTTTCATTTTAAAACTATAGATTTCCAATTTCAGAAATTTAGTTTTCTATTATATTTATTGCGGTTATTTATCCTTTTCCATAACTTTAACTAATTAATAAAATATTATTATTTTATAATTGTTAATAAAATCTATAAACCCAACCTTAAAATTTTTATTTTCTTATCTCAATGGGTTACTTATATTTGTCTTCCCAGCTAATAATTGATAAACCTTACATTCCGTTTGCTAAATAATATATATTTTAATTTCTTATGTCAAACCTAATATATTCACAATAATTATAATTAATAAAATACTTTTTATAAAAAACATATTTTTTTATATTGTTTGAGATTTCAATTTTTAACTAAAAAAACTAAATCCCTTCATGAATTATATTAAAAGCTCCATACATCATTTATGAATCGATAATAACCGTAGATATTTTTTTTTAGAATAAAGTTTAATATGTAAATATAACCGAAATATTATCTAAATCTTATATATTAAATATCTAAAATCCAACTTATTCTTAACTACATATAATCATATTTTACTTTTCGTCTATTAAATATAAATCAGAGCAACTCCTTTCTAATTTTAAATTGTTTATTTCTAAATTAGCAATTAAATTTATTTAAAATTAATTTGCTTATTAAATAATCTAATAAAATGACAATCCTAAAGATGAGCTTGCGATTAAAATTTCTTTTTTATTTGAATATAGACAAAAATAGTAATAAACATTATTAAATTTTTCATTTAGAGCAAGTTAAACATCCGCTGGATTGTAGGTTAGATAAAAGAAAAGACCCTCATATCCTGCAGTGAATGCTATTATTCCACCGTTATTATTGATCTAAATAGAAGAAGGCTATTAAAAATTTATATTTATATAAGAACACTCATTTTTATTATAAATATTTAAAATATTCTTATTTTAACTAATAAAAGCTCTTTTGAAAACTAAAATATTATCGTAATCATTAAAATAAACATATTTATAATTTTCAATAAATCCAATAGAGTTAACAATTCCAAGAGTGTATAAATTTTATTAAAGCTAAGGGTAAAAAACATTGATTTATAAAGAACTAATATCATATATTTAAAGACCCTGATTTCTAAAGCCTAAATATAAATATTTTTCATTAAAATCAACAGCAAAATCAGATAAAGATCGGCCTTATTAAACTTTTAGAAATAAAGGAACAATTTATTGTACTGCAAAAGCATTTTGCCTTAAATATAAATTAGTTATATCTAATGATGCAAAGCCATAATATTTAGACATTAAGTATAATACATATTTTTTAGAATTAAAAATATATGTTTTTTATATGTCAACAAACTCTGTTTTAATATTTCTAACAAATTAAGGATTCTCTTTAACACTTATATTAAATATTAATAAGCCACTTCTTTCACAACTTTGAAAAGCATAGTTTGGTCCACTATAATTTGAAACTGAAATATGTACAGTAGAATTTATTATTTAATTTTAGCTTTCGTTTTTTCCAATAATTGTTTTTTATATGATATCAAAAATATAAAGTAATCCTTTAAATGGTAAATATATAATCTACTCGTTTTTACTTACTACTAATACATCAAAACTTATGTTTTAATTTATTAAAGTTTTAAATTCTATTAAATTTAAATCTGCTTAAATTAATTATTTGCTAAAAGTTAAGAAAAATACGAAGTTTTAAGTTACTTATGCATATTGTATATCTATTTATATATTTTTTTAACTTTAAAATTCATTATCTTAATCTTAATCTTAATCTTAATCTTAAGCTAACAATATAAGTTATTGTTTCTTAAATACTAAATATATATATTATTTTATATTTTATCCATTATTTTATGAAGTAAGTATTTAAGATGGATTCCAACCATATTAATATAAATTAATAACTTAATGAGGAATAGGATTAAATGCGGTTTGTTATAATTCTTCAATTGTAAAACATTTCATAACAAGGAAAATTTGATTTAAAAATAAAAAAAATATACATATATTCATTTTATTTCTAATTTAAATTTAAAAAATAATAAGAATTTATATAAATATCAATGTAAATGATATAAAATATAATTTTTGGTTTTCAATAATTGTATAAACTATAAAAAATTTAAATATTTTTTTTTTTTTTTATTTTTTTAAAGTTTAAAAATTTAAAATATAAAGTTTTATAAATTATTAATTTAAAATTGATTATAATTTACATAAGATTTTTTATTTTTATATTTATCAATAATCATATTTATTGTAAATATAATATCTATTTTAATTTTTCTTTATATCGTTTTATTTTTATTAAAATAATTCCTAATTAATCTAAAAAACTTTTTCTTGTTCAATATCAACATAATTATTATTTTTTTCTTCAAAAATAATCTAAACTTTTTTAGAGTTAATATTATTATTTTGTTATTAATTTAAATTATCATTTTAACTTTAAAATTATTAAATTTATTCTTTTTATAAATTGTCTTTTTATTCTGAATTTGTTTGATTTTACGCTTTTTGTTTTTTTTTTTTTGATTTTATAAAATTAAGAATTTCATCCTCGACTTCTTTTTGCTTATCTAAAACATTTTGTTATTATTTTCTATCAATTTCTTCCTGTTATAATTATTTCTATTTATTTTATTCAAATTCAAGTTATTAAATTAATTAATTTTAATACTCGCTTTTTATATTGTAATCATCTTCAGGTTCAATTTTTTAATTGATTTAATATTTTATATTTTACTTTTTTTCATCTTCTTCTTATTTATTATATACATCATTATTTATTTATTATGCTTATTCATTTGAATCTATAGATTATTTTTTTATAAAAATTATTAATAATAATATAAATTATACTTTTATCTTATTAAATGAATTTTGTTTACATTAATTCGCTAATGCTACTCCTTTCACAAGCATTATCTTTCAAACATTTTTACAAAAATTCTTAACAATCTACACTAATTTTATCTGGAATTTATATTTTTTATAAATTTCTAAAAGGAGAAACTCCTGTCAACATTTATATAACTAAACAACCAACATCCCAAACATCAGTCTTCGTATTAAATTATTACTTTTCATATTACTAATTAAAAATTAATATAAAATAAAATTATTAAATATTGATATCAATTTAAATTGATTTATAATATTTTTTAAATAAATTAATTTTTTATTTTTTACTTCTGGCGATTTATTATATAATTATTCATTATTTTATTTATTTAAGAATAAATTTTTCTGAATTCCAAAATTAGTTAACTTTATTGTACCATCAGTATCAATTAATGCATTACTTCCTTTTATTTCTTTATGAATAATATTATTTTTATGTAAGTATTCTAAACCTTATAATATTTATCCAACATATTTAGAAATTATTTTTTCATTAAAAGGACCGAATTTCTTGATCATATGACTTATAGAACCACCAGGTACAAACTCATAAATTATTTATATTTATTAACTGCTATAATTTATTTAGGAATTTATATATTTAACTAAGTTTCTATTCCTCAATTTCCTTAATTAAGCAAACTGTTTTTCAATTGATTTATAAATCATTTTTTAATTTATGCTATTTTAAGTAGGAGTTAATTTTAGAGATTTCACTAAATATTGCTTTCCTGTATTTAAATCAAATGATTAATATACAGTAGAATAAGGAGTCTATGAATATAATGTTCCATTCTTAAAGGGAATTTATTTTTAATTTGATTAAACTTTTATTTTATTATTGTTTTATTCATTTTAATCTGATGTTTGCGTTTGTTTTTATACAATTGTTGTCATTTAATTTGTATTGTTTTTTTTATTTTAAGATCCTTTTAAAGGATTAATAATTTATTATGTTTTCTTAAAACATGAACCCATATTTTATTTAAATTTTTAATTATTTATAATATATAAATAAATAATTAAAATATATATAAATTAATTAAAGAAAATAATATATATTTATTATATAAAAAATTACTCTATATTATCTAATTTTTATTATTTTTATATTATACATTTGACTAAGTCAAATGAATAATAAAAAATATAATATAACTATATTATGCAGATATCTATAAATAATTTAAGTTTTTTTTAAATTCTTTAATTATAATCATTATTTTGTTTAATTTCTAAGATATAAATATATTTTTATTTTTTAACTTATATAATTAATTAAGTTATTTAAAAATATTAAATGGAATAATAACTCAATCTATTTAACTATAATATATATTTTTATATTAATGAAAATTTATGCTTTTATTGCATATATATTAAAATTGTTTATAAATACAATAAAGATTAAATTATTAATTTTATGTATTTTGCATTTATTCATTTTTTTAAAATAATTATTTTCTAAAAAATTTTCCGTTAAGTATCTTGTTTAAAATATTTAAAAATAATATTTTTTCAAAAAAATCTATATTTATTAATTTATACTAAAATGAGTTAATAGTCTTTTATTGTAGAAAGACAATTATTAAAAAAGTAAAAATATTTTTTTAAAAATCAATTAATAATTAAAATGGTAATTTTAAAATGATTTTATTTATTTATAAAAAAAAAAAATATATGTAATTTGTTTATAAATTATGTTTATATTTTATTAGAAATAATTTTAATATAAATAATAAAAATAAGAAAAGATTGATTATTATTTGTATTAAATATTTAAAATAAAAAAAACAAAACTTTTAAAAAAAAAATTAATAAAAACAAATAGAAAATTTAATATTATAAAAATAAAATTAGGAAAAAATTAATATAAATATAAATTTATTTATTTATATATTTATATATTTATTTATTTTCATATATATATATACATATAGCTAATTTTTTATATATTGATTTATATATTTGATATTTTATATATTAAATTTATATATATAAAAGTTTATATTTTTTTTTTATTAATAATATTTATTTTTTATTTTTTATATAATATATCATATTTATATTTTATTGATTTATGTTAAATTATTTTTTTAGAGAATTTTTTTTATTTTATATTTTTATTTTTTTAGAAAAGAAGGATTAATATTCGTATATTTATAATTTATTAAATATAAATTTTATATATACAAAACATTATTTTTATTTCTTCTAATTAAAATTTATAGCATTTGTATTTTTAAAATTATTTTTTATTTTATATATTTTTTTTAATATTTTTTCATTTTTTTTTTAATAAATTTTTTTTTTGAAAATGTTAATTATATTTAAATTTTTAATTTTTTTTTTAAAAAAAAAAAAAATATTAAATATTAATTATATAAAATTAATAATACAATATTAGTATATATTTACATATTTAAAAATAATTCAATAAAAAATATTTAAATTATTTCTATATAAAAATTTTTTTTATTTCAAAATATTTTTTTTCTTATTTTAATATATATATATATAAAATAAATTAAAATTTAATCAAAATTATTAAAAAATATTTATTAAATAGATAACTTATAATAATATAATTTTAAAATGGATGACAGAAATATAATATAAAAAATTAATTTAAAAAATGATATTTAAAAATAAAGACAAAAGCTCCCTAGAATTTAAAGTAAGCCAACTTCAGTAAAGAAAAACAAATAAATAAATAATTAAAAAATAAAAAAATAAAAGAGTTAAATTAACAGAAGTGATATAAATGACAATCAAAAGATTTAGGATAATTTATTCCCTCTAAATATTCATTCAGATGATGATATAAATTTATTTGATGATCAAAATTAAATAAGAATATAAGGTAAAAAGGAAATTAAAAAGTAATTAATTTGGGAAAAATTTACTGCTAATACACGATAACCATTATAACATTATAGAAATTTTTAGGTAGAAATAACAGAAAAGCATGCCCCTAAAACACAATATAATAATGAATAAAAAAATAGGCTTTAATAAGCTTAAGAAATAATTAAAATGCGATAAAATAAACGAAAAGATGGACATTAAAAAAAGAATCCACAAACGACGTCAAAGAGTAAAAAAAGAAATGTTTCTAGTTTCTATGACACATGGAATTATTGAAGATGAAGTTCTTTTTTAAAAAAAATTAGAAATATTTTATAAATATTAAATAGATTAAAAGATTAAAATTAATTTCAACTGAAAAAGATCATGCCTTACTTTTAAGCGAAAAATAACTAAAACAAGATCATGAGAATTTTTAAAAATATTTGGAATAAAATAAATAAGCTAAATTAGAAGCTGAATAAAAAGCTAATAATGTAATGAAAGAAAAAAAATCTAAAGAGTCTGATATCAAATAAATTAATGTACGTTTAGGAACTCTTAGACAGGAAAAATAATAAAAAGATGATTATGTAGCAATGTGCACTTAGCATAAAGAATTTCTGGAAAAATTAACACCTAAAGAATGGCTTGAAAAAAAAGAAAAAGATAAATTAATATATATTGAGAAAAAAAAAAAAGAATGGATAGCAAAATAATAAAAAAAAAGTATTGAGTCTGATGATTAAAATGAAAAAGAATCTAAAGTTGCTGGAGGAGTTAAAAAAAATAGTAAAAATATTTAAATAAATGATAGTAAAGATAAACATAATTTAGAACATATATTTTCTTCATAATTTGAAAATGATTATAAATTAGGTTATTTATTTTTTTATAAATCTATGATTTTTAAAAAATAAATATTGAAAAAAGATTTTGAGTTAAATTATGAAATGTATTTCAAATAACCGAATTAATTAGTTGATTATTTTGATGATTTAGAAAGAAAAAATATATTTTAAATACAAAATTTTTAAGAAGATTAGTCTGCATTTGATGAATTTAAACAATAATTTGAAAGAGAAAAAGATGTAATTTATTGAAAAACAATATTTTATTTTTATATAAAAAAGTATATATATAAATATATATATATATATATATATTTATATATTTATCTATTTATATAATTATTCATTTTGATTAAACAGTTTTTAAATCAAAAAGCTTTAGTTTTAAAATAAAATAAAATAAATTTGCAAAAACAAGTTGATGAATAATTAATTTAAATAAAAGAATTGCTAGCTAGAAGTGAAGATAATAAAGTAACTATTAATAACGATCGACCTGAATTAAGAAAAAATATAATGGATTTATATTAAGAGTTTAACTCAGAAATTAACTTGCATGACGTTGAATCTAAATCAACCCTTGATATACTAGCTGTTTTAATAAAATATTTTTTTTTTATTTTATATTTTTTTAAATTAGTAAATTGAAATATTTTTAGATAAATAATAAAAATTGATATAAACTTTCCCCATATAAATTGTTTATAAATAAGTAATATAAATATATACTATATTGTATTGTCTTTGATATAATTAAATTTTAATTAAAGAAAAAAAAAGCTGAAAAAGATAGAAAATTTACTTAAAAAGAATAAAAATAAAAAGAACAATAAGAAGACGAAAAAAAAAAAGTTTTAAAGAATAAATAAAAAATAACATAACCAACTAGGAAAAAGTAATTTATTATTTTATAAAATAAAAAAAGAAAAAATCAAATTCTAAATTTAAAAAACAGAGAAGGAAGAATAGATATGACGAAAAGTGCTCCATTAACAAAATAAAAGAAAAAGGAAGTTAAATAAGTCAATAACGAAGAAGAAGAAGATAAGAAATATTTTCTGGAAAAATATTAATTTATATGAATAAATCAAATTATATTAAAAAATTAGAATTACAAAAATTTTATTGGTTGTTTAAGTTTTTAATATTAAAATATTAAATTAATAAATTTAAAATAAAGTAATTTTGTATTTAAAATACACATAAATGATAGTTATATTAGGATATATGTTTAGTATTTTTTATACAATATATTATATATAAAGATTAAATCACTAAAATAATAATAATATAGTATAAAATATATTATATTTTTTAAAGTTTAATTATTAAATATATTCTTTTTATAAAAAAATTATTTAAAATTTTTATGTTTAATCTTTTTCATAGAAATATCTTGAGCAGAATTTCTTTATATTAATTACCTTTAATTATAATTCTGTCTCAATATTATTAAAATACCCTATATTTCTAATATAAACAATAAAAAAGAAATAGATATATCAAAATTTAAAAATTATATTATACATTTAATACTCGTAGATTTATATACTTTATATCATTTTTTATAAATTACTTTTTATTCGTAGGAGGTTCTTAACAAATAAAAACATATAAACTATTATTCAAAAAATAATTTAAATAAAATATAAATATTTATAATAGACTTTAATTTTTAAATCAATCTTTTAATAAATTTAATATTTAAATTGATAAATGATTAATTTATCCTATTATAAAATAATGTCTGTTATTTTAATATATTGTTAACCATAACATCATTATATATAATAGCGACTTCAAATATATATATATATATTTAAAACAGTTTTAATAACTAATTATAATATTAATTATTTATATTTTGAATAAACATTTTTAATAAAATAAATATGAAATATTTATATATAAATATGTATTAATTATTATAAAGCATTTATAAGTTTGAATTTTATTTATTTTAATTATATAAAAAGTTTTAAAGAAAGTATACATTTTTTTTACTTGTTCTGAATGAATTAAACAAGTTTATATAATTTTCAATTAGTTAAAAATGTTATTTTTTATAATAGAAAATTTATTTTTATTAATTACGTATAAAATCTATTTAAATAATAAAATATCATATAAACAAATTTGGACTCTTATAATTATAAAAATAAAATAAGTAAATAAAACACTTACTTATGGTCATTTCTCAAACTGATTTTCATTAAAATACTTTTAAAAAGAGTAGGGGAGAGATAAATTATCTTTGAATATTAGCAGTGAATTTAGGCAAAATCAAAAAAATAAATATATAAATATATTTTTTATTTAATTTAAATTTTAAATGATGATATAAAAAAATGATTTTATATATTTTTTCAGATTTCAATATATGATATTAAAAAATATATAAGAAAGATGATTGAAAGTTTAAAAATATTTATTTTAAAAAATATAAATTTAATTAGTTTATATTAAAAAATATTATATAATTGTTAAAAGAAGAAAAAAATTATTCTATCGATGTATATATTTAATAAAAAATAAACATAGTTAATTTTATTTATATTAATAATATTAAATCATTATGGTTTTTTTGTTAATTTTAAATTATATTAAAATATTGATTAAAATTTTGAATTTTCTTTTTAGATTGCTGAAATTAATAAATTGAAAATTCTTAATATATTATTTTAATATAAATATTATATGTATTAATAAATATGTAATTTAAATTATTAATAATTGATTAATTAGTTATTTAATACCTTTTTTTTATTAATGTATTACTTTTTATCAATTTTATTTTTTCTGTAATTTTTTAAAAAATACACAAAAATTATTCTAATATATATTAAATTTTTATGTTTAATTATTATATATTGTATTTTTGACTCAAAAAAATTTCTGCATAATTATATTAAATTTTATATACAATTTTATTTATGTAATTTCTTTTTATTTAACTTTATATTATTTTGTTATTTATTTTGATTTTACAGTCACTATTCTTTTTTAATTTAATATTTTTTTTAATATCATTTTTTCATTCATTTATTATCTTATTTTACTCAACTTAACTAAAGCATTATAATTAATATTCTTTTTATAATATTCAATTGAATTTAAATAATTTTTTACGATTTATTCTTATTTTAATGTTTTGTTTATTCTCATATTGCTAATTAGAATTCTTTTTAATTATTTATTTCTTTTATTGAAACAATTTTATTTTTATAATGCCCAATCTCATATGTATAATAACAAAATATTTGTGGCACTGATATTTTATTTAAAAAGAATCATAAATAAAAGGAATTAACAATTGAAATAAAACAGACAAAATATTAATTTTTACAGACTTTTATAAAATGAAGTTAATAATATATAATAAAAATTTAATTAAATTTGTTAATTCCAATGTATATTAAAATTACAGAATCAGAAATTTATTATAAATTCAAAAAAGAAATTTTTGTGAAGGCAAAAAATATAATTTAAATAAAAATTTAGAGCATATAAATTAATTAATTTATTATATAATATTATTTTTTTTATTGAAACATATATAGAAAAAAAAAAAATTTAATATAAAAATATAAAATAAAAATAAATAAATAAATAAATAAATAAATAAATAAATAATTATTAAATTATTAATTAAATAAATAAATATAATTTATATAACTTATACTATAAAAATACTAAAATAAATAAATATTTTTTTTTTTATTATAAATTAATTTTTTTATTTAAATCTTCTTGAAAAATAGCTTTTTAAATTTTTACAGTTTTTATAATCATATATTTACTACTTTTATGATTTTCGAAAAAAAAAAAAAACTTTTTAAATTTTTATGAATTTTTTTTTACATAATAAATATAATTATATAAAAAATAATCTAAAATTAATTAAAAAATCTAAAAAATATAGGAATTGTATAATTTGTCTAATTGTTGTTTTTTTTTATTAAATAAAATATTTCTTTATTATTAAAATTTTTTTGTTTCTTTATAAATTATTTAACCAAATTTTTTTTTAAAAATCTATTTATAATATTAATAATATATTTATTTTTTAATATTGAAATAAAATATTTTTGATTAAAAGTATTTTTATTTTTATTATATATATATATATATAATTTATTATCTTTTGTTAGAAAAATAATTATTTTAACTTTATTTATTGAGATTCTAGTTTTTTTTTTTTAATATTTTATTTGATTTAAATAAAGCATAGAATTTATATAAAAAAAAATTATTTATATAAATTAATTTTTTGTATGGATTCAAAAAGATACATTGTAAATTGTTTTGATTAATATGATAAATAAATTTTTAGTTCAAAATAAAAAGAAAGTCGAATAATATGCTTGAAAATTTTGATAGAAAGTAAATCAAAGATAAAAATATTAATATTTAAAAACTATTAAAATTTTATTTAAATTTAGATATTACTAGATTTTATTCTTAAGTAAAAGTAGGATAAAAAAGCAAAATTTGTTCTAATCCTTCTAAATAAAGAGTTGACTATAGTATTTTTGATGGTGCTGGAGGATATTTAATTACATATATGAAACTCTATTTCTTTTTCAAAAGAATGAGCCAAGATGATTTATATTATTTATAAAATTAACTTAAAGTAAATTAATTTTACTTAGATAAAAATAAGTATTTAAATGATGCCCTATAATAATTTTAATCCATTTAAGCTATTATGAGTAACTAAGATAAATTTGATAATATAAGTTTTTTTTTTCATAAAATGGAATATATTTAACCGCAATGATTATTTATAAAGAAAAAAATGATTTTAATAATATTAATAAATGTTTTCAGGAAATATTATCCTACACTGAATTTATTTTAAATATTAAATAATATGAAAATGAAGATCTTTATCATGAAATATTATACGGAACATCTGGATATTTGTATAATTTATTATATATATAATAAAATCTAAAAGAAAGTTTAACTCATGAGCAATCTTAATAATTGGAAAGATATATATGCTAAATATTTGATTTAATAATAAGAAATGGCAATAAATAACAATCTCCTAAATAATAAAATGAGTATAGGCTTATTTACAAGTTTCATGATTCAGAATATTTGGGAGGAGCTCACGGTTTATTTGGAATATTATATATATTAATGGTTGCTTTAAAAAATAATTAATAAAAATTAAATTATGCTAGCGATTATATTAAAAAATCTTTTGTATATTGTTTATAGTTTCAGAGATAAGATGGAAATTTTCATTCTCATATGCGTTTTTCAACTAATGAGCCTTTAGTTTAATTTTGTCATGGTTCTCCAGGAGCTATTTTACCTTTATTACTTGGAGATTAACTGTTTCCAGAATAAGGCTTAAAATAAAGAGCTATATTAGCTGGATAAAATATATGGAGTCAAGGAATTAATAAAAAAGGATATGGGTTGTGCCATGGAATATCTGGAAACGGTTATGCATTTTTAGCTTTGTTTAAGAATACTTAAGATTTACAATGGCTTTATTATGCTCATAAATTTGTTTAAATTTAAGAAAATCAAGACATTATGAATATAATAAATAATTATGAATTTAAAGGAAGATATGTAAAAGGAATATCAGATTATCCTTTTAGTTATATGATTGGACTTGCAGGAGATATTTGTTTTAATTGTGATACTCTATAAGAATAAGTATCTTAATTTTATGGATATGAAATATGAAAAACAATATAAATATATATACTTTCATAATTTGAAAGAAATTTAATTTGAAAGCACTTTTTGCATATATTGTTTGGATGAATTCACTTTCATCCGAAATAATTCCAAATATTTTTTTTGAAAATTATTTTATTAAAATATATGTGATCGTTCTTAAAATAGATTTAGCCTGTATATTCATCATTCATTTTTTTGCAATAATAACATATTACCGTATCTGTAATTAAAAAAACACGCCATTATTTTAATATTTAAAAATACAGCTTATTGCTATATGGAATTTTTAATAAATAAATGATATAGGATTCTTCTTATTTTTTTATGATTTGGAAATTATTTCATTATTATATTTTTATGTTTTTTTATATTAAAATCTTAAATCATTTCCTACTTATTTATTATTTTAATTTTTTTATAATATTAATATTATACTTTTGCGCGCAAAAAATATAAAGAAATAATGTTTTCAAAACTGGAATCAATTGGATTCACATTATTTCTTATATAGATAAAATTAACATATTAAAGAAAAAATATAACGATTTTATTTTAACTAATAGTGTTTCATAATTTAGTTTATCAAATCAAATTAAATGTGTTGGAAACTTTTTGATATTTTTCTTTGCGTATACACAAACCATTTGATTTAGACTCAATTTTTTACGGTAATTTCTTTTTTACAATAAAATTAATATACTCGAAACGATTTTTTTAAACTCTATATATAAAATACATATTAAGTAAAAAATATTTACATAATAGTAAATAAATATTTAAAGAGTACAAAAATCGAATATATTTTTGTTTCAACTATTAATTTAAACGTCGTTTTTAAATATGATTTTCTTATATATCCAATAGTTATTTTTATAAGTAATTTTCTATATATCTTATTCCGAAAACATAAGAAATAAATTAAAAAATATATTTAAAAATTTAGTTTTTAAAAAGAGGGATATTATTAATATGGTAATATATATTTATTTTTTTTGAATATAAAAATTAATGTATTTTTTTTTTTTTTTAGAAAATATATTATTACATAAAAAATATCAAAATATTTTTTATATTAAAATATAAAGTTCTTTAATTGAACTTTATATTTAAGCTTACGAAAATTGTGAACTATTTTTTATCCACATTTTGCACAATCGAATATCTGTCACCTAAAATTTGGTAACTTTGGTTAACTTAAAAAGTTTGCAAATAATTTCGTCGCAACTATATATAACTACGATATATATGAATTTTATAATTTAATTATTTATTTTATATAATAAGCAATAAAAGTAAAAATATGAATTTAAATTAAATATAAACAACTTTTAAATAATTTTTAAGATTATATACAAGATAAATTTATTATTTAATTTTGAAAATTAAATACTGAGAAAACAAAAATGATTTAAATTGAAATTTTTTATAATTGCCTTTTTAAAGTTGATATGTAATAAATAAAAATTTTCTCTCAAAAGTTATAGTTATTATGAAATAATAATTTTTGAAATTTCTAAATTATTATTCTTTATTAAACTTATAAAATTATAAAACAAAAAAATAAAATTAAAAATATATTAAAAAAAAGGAAACAATAAATTTAAGTAAATTTAAAAATTAAAGTTAAAAATAACAAATTAATAATTTATTTTTAAAAATTTTACATTCTTTTCTTTTATTAAAAATTTTCATTTTTAACAACAACTTTTTATTTTATAGCTTTAAACTTATTATTTCTAGCCTATTATAATTTTTTTTTGGAATTTTTATTATGTTTAACTTGAACTTTCTTACTTATCTATTCTTTAATTATTTATTAAATTTATAATATTTTATATTGTTATCTTTTTACAATTGTTTGGCTAATTATATAAACATTAATTCAATGTTATCATTATTTTTAGCAGATACTTCAATAAATGGTATATCAAACAAACAGGCTTTTATATTTTGTTTTAAATGATTGTTTATATATTATTTATTAAAAACTACCTAAATTTAAACCTTCATCAAACTAAATTACTCTTTTATCATTTAAATCAGATTTATTTCCAACTAATATTTTTTTAACATCTTCCCGAGCAAATGACTCAATTTAATTCATCCATTCTCTTACATTTTCAAATGAGTTTCTATCTGATATATCATAAATAATCGCTATTCCGTGTGCTCCCCTAAATTTAATTTTAAAGTATATAAAAAAAAAAAAAATTCTATTATCACTTATAATAGCTAGATGTAATTGTTTTAAATCTTTCTTATCCTGCAGTATCCCACTTATTGATTATTTAAATATAAAAATATCAATTATTTACAATTTATAATTTTATTTTCTTTTTCTCATATTATATTGTCTTAGCCTTCTATTAAATAAGTAATATTTAAAAAAATATTTTAATAAAAAAATACATAATCAACTCCAATAGTGTTATAAAAGCTATTTACAAATAAATTATCCTATATATTATTAATATTTTATATTTGTTAGAAATGATACTGTAAATCTCATCAAAACACACGATTTACCTGCTCCTGAATTACCAATTAATAAAATTTTAAATTAATAATCACTTTTATAAATATATATTAAGATTTATAAATTAGATTTATGATATTTTAATTACACTAATTCATTATCTATACCTATCCTTTGATAAAAATTTAATAAAAGTATTTTTTAAAAATTACATTAATACTAAATTTATTATCAATATTATTTTTAAACTTAATTAATAAATAAATTAAATAAATAATTATATATTATAACAGATTGAAAATAATTGAAAATAAAAAAAGTTAAAATATTTAAAAATATAAATAAAAAAATATCTTTAAAAAAAATTTTCTTTGAATTAATTTAAAGATATATAATATTTTATATTAAATGGTTAAATATGAATTTTTTATTAAATATATATATATTGAAAAAAAAAGATATACTAATATTTATTTAATTTATTATAAAAAAAAGCAGATTCTATAATAAATTGAAAAACAAAAATATAGAAAAATAAAATAAGATATATATTAAAATATATATTTAATATATATGAATATATAAAAATATAATTATTATAAATATATTTTTAAATACATATTTACATATATTTATATATTTTATTATATAATATATTTATATTTCTTTATTTATAAAAATTTTCTTAGAAATTTATATTATCTTTTTATACATTTTTTAAAATAAAATAAAATAAATATCTTTATATGTAAAACTTGATTTTTATTAAAAATTTTAATTTTCAATATTTTTTTGAAAATAAATATTCTTATTTAATAAAACAAAATTTTATTATATTAATATATTACTAAGAAAATTCAGATTTTTTATATCTATTATATTAAATATTTGAAATCTAGATATTTTTTTTATATATATAATTTAATATAAAGTTTTAAAACTAATTTTAACTTAAATCAATTATCTTATTTTTTATTTTTTATAGTTTTTTCATTATATATTTATTCATAATTTATTACCAATAAATAAATTATAATAGAAAAAAAATATTAATTAAATAAAAAGATAAAATTTTTATAAAGTCTAAATCTAAAATTAAAAATTAATGAATTAATTTTACATTATTAATTATCAATAAAAAAAATATAAAAAATCAATAATTTTTTTTTTTTTTAATGTTAAGATAAATTCAAAATAACTATAATTCTCCTGTTGATATATCGAAGACATCAAATAATGTTTCATAAACAGATTCACCATTTGAAAAAATAATTGTCAATCATTCATAAATTCCTAAAAAATAGCGTTAAGTTAAATTATGGACGCAGGAAGAAGATAAATAATTAAAATATTTAATATCTATATATAATTAAAAATGGGATAAGATAGCATAATAAATGGTAAATAGAAATATTTCTTAATGTTCTTAAAGATGGAGAAGAATAAATCCTTAAAAAATGCGGAATCCTTGGACTCCTGAATAAGATAAAATGCTTCAAGAACTATATAATTAATATGGTAAAAATTGGGGATTAATATCAGAATATATTAAAGGAAAAACTGGCAAGTAAATAAGGGAAAGATATATAAATAAATTAGATCCTATGATTCATAAATAGGCTTGGACTGAGAAAGAAGACCAAATTATATTAGATTCTTACATAACTAAAGGACCTAAATGGTCATTTATTTCATCTAAGCTAGATGGAAGGTCAGAAAATATGGTTAAAAATAGATTTTATTCACATCTAAAAAGAATTTATTTAAATAATCAAAAAATATAAGATGATTAAATTTAATCCTAAGCATAGATAGAAAGAAAATTATCAACATAAGAACACTGCTAAAATTTATTTTTTAATATAAATTAATTTAATATTGGTTAAATAAATCCTTTACAAACATATTAAAATCTATAAATATAACAAAACAATACAGACTATTCGCAATTATTCTGTTTAAAAAGTCCGAATTCTCTAAATATTTAAGAAAAAAAAAATGCTTTATTATCTAATTATATTACATTTAATAGTATAGTTAACCTACAGACTCCGAATAGTGTACTTACTGATAATATTAACAATATTCTCTTAAATTAAATGAAAACTAATTAATATTATAATTCAAATGAAAATAATGTAAAAAAAAAGGAAAACATTATAATATAATGAAAAAATTTATATTATATAAAATACTTAAGAATAAATTTAAATTTTTATAAACATATAAAATTGATTTTTTAAACTTGTATAAAAATAAAAATTACATATAATCTATAATTTAAATTATTTAAACTATTAAAAATATATTCGGAATATAAAATACTTATTTTTTAATTATGTTATTTTTTTCATTAATTGTTATGAAATATTCATTAACCAAATAATATTTTATTATTAAATTAATTGCTTTAATTTAGTTTTAATATAATTAAAAAATTATTATTATTAACTTCTTTATTATAAAACTAAATAAATGAAATAATATAGACTATTGGTTTATTCATTAGGTAATTATTTAATTATTTTATTTGAGTATAAATTTTATTTTAACATTATTTAAATAATAAAAATTCAATTAAAATAAAAAAGAAATGACTAAAAGAATAAATTATAAAATTATTATCAAAAGTTAAAGAAGAATTTAAAATTAAAAAACGTAAACTCTAAATAGAATCTAAACTTAATATTATTTCTTTTTGAAGGCGGAGATATGCTAGTCTTAAAGTCTAAATAATATTTAATTTTTGTTTAAAGTATTAGAATTTTTCATTAACTTAAAAAATTTAATTTAAATATGTTTCTCATTTTTGTGGAAAAAATTAATAGTTTCTAAATTTGATTTTTTTAATTTAATTTTTGAATATTAATTAAGTTCTCCTTAATTAATTTAAGGCAATTATAATTTAAATTTGATAAAAAAAATTTGAAGTAAAAATTATTAATGAAACAATTAAGAATAACTTAATCAAAAAAATAATATATTTTTTTGAAAATGATATATCTTAATTTAAATTATCTAAATATTTTAAACAAAATATAAATTTAGATATTTAACTAAATATATAACAAGAAGAAACTTTAAGTAAATCCTGATCTTAAAATGGTTTTATATATTTGTGCTACTTATTAGATGAAAAAAAAATTATATTATGGAAAAATATAAGATTAAATTTCTTTAATATATAATAAATATTTAAATTTTTAAACACATTATATAAAATGTTGTGTGTGCTTTTGTAAAAAAAGCAGATAATCTTTAAGTAATTAAAGACTTTTTTCAAAAGTTTTTAAAATTGATTCAAATCATGTAAATCCTATATTTTCAAGGGTAAACATGTTATAATAAAATATGTGATTATAATAAGACTATTAAAGTTTGTAATTTGGCTTTTAAATTAGCATGAAAACTCTTATAATCAATTACATAGAGTTTTTCAAAAATTATATTTTTTGACGAGGGATTTAGGTATGGCAAAGTAAATCAATTTTTTTTAGATTAGTAAGACTAGTTAGGAAATTAAGACAATTTATGGTAAATAAAGTTCCTATTCAATCTATGATTAAAAATAAGCTTTGATAAACTATTATATGTAAACAAAATAAAAAATCATCATTTTTAATTATAATTATTTAGAAAAATATATGTTTGAAATATTTAGTGATAACTGTTAAAATAGATAATATTCTATATTAATTTAAAAAAGTAAATAATAATAATAATTTTAATATTAATTGAATAACTTTTCTTTTCTTAAAAAAATTAATAATTAAAATAAATAAAAAAATTATGATATTTAGAATATTTAGTATTAATAATTTTATTTTATTTTTAAAAAAAAACAAAACAAAGTCAAGTCATTTTCGATTTTATAAATTTATTTTAACAATTTTAAAAATGTCTTTTAAAAAAAAAATATTTTGAAATATTTTTTGAAATTTAGATTTTTTGAATTTTTTGAATATTGAAAAATTTTAATATATTGTAAATAATAGGGTTAATACGGATTAATTATACATATTGTTACTAAAATGCTTAAATGTAACTAACATTGGCCTTATAATGATTAAATTTACATTGAAATTTAGGTATTTTAGACCAAATGTGATTTAAGCAATTAATACCAATCATAATATAATATTTTTAAAAATAAATATATATAAATTTACTTTTTAAATACATATTAATATATAAATAAAGTTCTTTAGTATATCTTTTATAAATTTTTAGCAATCTAGAAAATTTATTAATAATCTGAATTATAAATTAAATTTATATAAAATGTTTTTTAAAAATTTAAATTTATATTTTATAATGCTTTCAATTATTTATTTTAATCATTTTTTATAAAAAAAAAATATAAATTCATAAAAAATATATTCATGTACTTTTACTAAAATAGTTGTAATGTATTGTTAAAAAAATAAAATTAATTAAATTTAAAAAAAAGGATATTTATATAATAAAAATATTAATTAATTTAAAATGGATCATACAAAATTGTATTTTTTTTCTTTTCTTACACAGCTCAAGCTATTACCATAGGAATTTATCAAATATATATCAATAGCTGTATAGGGATCACCGCATGCAGGCAGTAAGGATTGACATCGTAGACCGTTTGGCTCGCTTTAGATATGAATATTGCATAAACCAAACTCTACGGGCTCAATTCTGGTCTCACCTTTTATCTTAGCCGGCTAAATTCTGAGTTAATTTTCTGCTTTCGCGTGCGTCTTGTTGGAATTAAATCATACATCTTAATATAATTTTTAATTTTTTATCTTTTAATAATATTTTTTGTTTGAAATTTAATTTAACATATTTATTCTCCTCTCCCTTTTAATTGTCTTTAAAGTTAATTTTTATATAATTACTTTTTAATAATTATATTTTTTATTTAATTTTAATTATTATAAGGTTAAAAATTTTTATTATTTCAGTAATATAATTTATTTTTCTATAGATATTTATATATTAATTATTTTTTTTATAATTTAAAACCTCAACTTATTTTTTATATATAACTTAACTTAAGGTCTGATATGTGAACCGGTTTGTGCTATAATAAAATACCGATAAAAGCATTTACATTATCTCACTACTAGCACATTTCGATGCTTATTTTAAAAAAATTAATTATGTCAGGTGTATATTAAATTTTTTTCGAACAAGATAATGTTTTAATAAAAAATAGATTTATGTTAATTATCATTTGTTTTAGATGCTTTTTTATTTTTCCTGTATTTTTTTTTAAATATTAATACTCAATCATATAAAAAAGACAATTGTTGATTTTACCTTAGCTTTTATTTTTGTTGACTAAGTTTTTTAAAAAAATAGTATACTTCAAAACAACTAATACATATTTATTTAAATAAATCTAATTTTATTCAAAAATTAAAACTTAATATTAAAAATATGAATATATCAGTGATAATAACGATATAAATTCCTGTATTATCTGTAACATATATCATGTAATCTGCAAAAAATATTAAAAATTACAAACAAACAAAAATATAAGAAAAAAAATATTTCCTATTTTTGAGCAAAGTTGATTGTATAAATATAGTGGTACACAGAAAAAAAAAAATATTCAGCTTAAGATATTATATATATAATGCCTCTTATAAAATTATTTATTACATTTAATATTTATTATTTTATTTAAAAATTATATTTTTTATTATTTTAGTATTTTTTAATAAAATAACAAAAGTAAAAAAAAAAATATTTAATTAATAATAATATATAAAACTTTTTATTATTTAAATAAGTTATATATATTTTAAAATTTATTTTATTTAATATTTTTTAATTTTTAAAAACTCAATCAAAAAAAAAAAAAGTATTATTTCCATTTTTTATATTTTTTATCTTCTTATTTTTTTATTAATTGAAATTTTTTAAAAAACACCAGAACTAGGGATATATATATACAATATATATAAAAATATTTTTTATTTAAAAATAAAATTGATGATTTAAAGGTTCATACATTAAGACCATACCGCCTCACTTCCAACTTTTTTTAATAAAATAAGGTCTTAATTTTTTTATTTTAAGAAACTCAAAAACGGATGTACCGAGTTTTTAGCATATGAAGATTTATGGTATAAAATTTAATTTTATGAATAAAAAAAAGTTTGTTGATTGATTAATAAACCTAATTGAAAAATTTAGAAGAATTTTTATAGGTATATTATTAAGTTTTTATATATTGTTTATTTTTGATATTTAATAGGTCATTACATACTTTGTTGAATTTAAGAGTCAATATTCAGCATAAGGCATAACATAGGAGAAAATAATTCTTAATACGACAGAGCAAAAAATTTAAACAATGTATAAGGCTAAATTTAACGTAGGAATATTTCATATATGGCATATAATATACATAATAAATATATAAAAATATATTTATAAATTTTTAAAATACACATTATTCAAATTTTAAATGTTTTTATACAATAATATTATTATTGTCTTGGATTAGTCAACATATCTAATAAATATTCTACAAATTTATATATGATATGTATCATATTAAATAAAAGGATATACTTGCTAAAAAGTTATTTCTATATTATTATAGAATTTTTTTTATTATTTAAATCTATAATTTTAACTTAGATTTTAATTTTTAATGAATAATCAACATTAATTATAAAAAAAATTATTTAGGGTAAAAATCTGATTTTTTATATGTTAAAACAATTACCGATTTGGACTATTAACTATAAAAAATATTTTTATTATAACATGTATGTTGATATAAAAAATAGTTATAATTTTTTATATAATTGATAAAATTTATAAACATTAATTCGTAAATGTATTAAAAATTTAATTTTTTAATTTTTTTATATATATATATATATATATATATATATATATATATATATATAGATATTTATTATAATTCATTTACAAAAAATACAATTTTAAATATTTAATTAAAATTTTTCTATAAAAAATAATTAAATACACATATAAATAAATATTAAATAATTTAATAATATAATTGATTAAAAATAAAATAAATGATTATTTTTATATTCATTAACCATATAAAATTTATTAAAATAAATCATTAATTTTAGTTTTATTCTTATAAATTGCTTTTTTAGTACACATTATACTTTAATTCATTTGCTGTATATATTTTTGGAATATCAAATATGCTTTTTCCTTTTTATCTGCATCTTTCAATATCTTTTTATATTGATTTTCCCATTTTCTATAAAAAAATTATTTTATATATTAAAATCTATTACATTCATAGCATATTCTTTCCACCATATTATAGTGGGAGGAACAATTAAAAAACTAGCAATTCCTAATTTAAAAAATAAACCTAAATATTTATTTAATGATTTAATATCGTATTTCATTTATAACTTTTTTAATTAAAACTAATATAATTTATGATTTATTATAATATTATATTTTTATATATAATTATTTTTTCTTTCATCTAAAATAATATATTTCTATTATTTTAAATTATATTTTTTAATTTTTTTTAACTTTCTTTTTTTTTTTTTAATTTTATTCATAATTTGATTTTTTTCATTTTTTAAAAATATTCTTGTTAGTAAATTTCTATTCATTCATTAGTTATATAGGTAGTTTTTTTTAATTTTTTTTTTAATTATATTTTTTTCTATTTTCTTATACTAATATATTTATTATTAATAAAGAATTATAATTTTTAAATAAAAAAAATAATTTATAAATTAAAAAATGGAAAATTTAGGTCATTATATATTATCAAAAGGCGTTATAGGGTAAACAAAACTAATTTTTATTTTATAAAATTAAAAAAAGAACAGTTGTAAGTACATTCTTTAGGGAAATATAAGTATTAGGATTAGAAAATATTCCAAAAGTATTTAATATTAATATTTTTATAATTTACAAATATGTTATTAAATTTTAAAGGACTAACCTTTGATTATCTGTAGCAACCATAATAACTAATTTATTGATGCCCTTGTATACTTATTATTTTATTTTTTTAAATAAATTATAAAAGTTAATTTGCAATAAAATGGATAGACCTGTAAAATTTATTATTGCAGCAAAGTCGACAAGAAGACCTATTATTGGATAAGTAAGCAAGATTTTAGGTGGTATACCAGTTGAAAGGGCATAAGATTTAGCGAAAACTGGTAAAGGTAAAATAATTTTAATTAAAGATGGTTTTGTCAAGGTAAATATATACTAATTTAAACAATAGAAAATAAATATAATTATATAATTTTTATTTATATAAAAAATAATTTAATATTTATAATATAATATTTTTATAAATTTTATTTTTAAAAAAATATTTCTTAATAATATTTACGTGATATAAATTATATTTTAATTATTAAAAGGGTGTAGACACCTAGTTTACAAAAGATTTCTAAGTAGGATATATAATATTTATTAATTAAATTGGTAAAGAATATTTGATTCAATCCATTATTTCTGATACAGAGTTAAAAATAAAATAAGAAAATCCAGTTTCAGATACAGAAGTAGATTTTAAATACTAAATTATTCCTAAATTAGATTAATCTTAAATGTATGATAAAGTATGGGATTCTTTAGTTAAGAATGAAGTCGTTGGTATATTTCCTGAAGGAGGTTCACATGATAGGACTGGTTAACTCTAAAAAATATTTAAATTTTTAATTTATTTAAATTTATAGATTTTCTTCCTCTTAAGGCAGGAGTTTGCATTATGGCCTTAGGTGCCATGGCTCAATTTGGAATTTAAGTTAATATAGTTTGTTGCGGACTTAATTATTATAACTGTGATAAATTTAGGTCTAAAGTAATTATGGAGTTTGGAGTTCCTTATTTGATTCCTAAAGAATAAGCTGAATTATATAAAACAAATAAAAGAGAAGCTATTAGCAGTCTTTTGCATGAAATTTAAAATGTAAATTTATTATCTTTTATTTATTTTTACCAAATTTAAATTCTATTAAAGAGACTTAAGGATGTGACAACTTCAGTACCTAGTTATAATGAATTAATGCGTATTTATATGGCTAGAAGAATTTATTATCCTGAAAATAGAGAATTGACACCAAAAGAAGAATTAGAATTGAACCGAAGGTTTAAAAAATATTTTGTTGCTATTTTATATTTTTTAAAAAACTAGATTTGCTAAAGGGTATTCTGAAATGTCTGATAAAAAAGAAGTAAAATAATTATTTAATAAAATTGGTGAATATAGGAGTTATTTGAAAATTTCTGGCATGGATGATTATTAAATAAGACATTATAATAATTAGTTTTCTCATAATTTATCTGTTGCAATTTATTCAATTTTTATGATTATTATTTATTTATTATTCTCATTACCTGGAATGGTTTTAAATACTCCATTTGGAATTTTATTAAATTATTTGTCAGAAAAAGAAAGGATTAAAGTATAATTTTATAATTATTAAATATATAAATAAAAAAAAATAGTGCTAAATTGCTTCTAAAGTTAAAATTTTAGGAAAAGATGTTGTTGCAAGTTATAAAGTAATGATTGCTTTTGTCGTTTTTCCATTTTCTGCTTTATTAATGACTTTATTATTTTGCTTTTTCTTTATTCCTAATTTTTTACCATTTCTTTTGCATATAAGATACAAAAGTTCATTAATATTCCTAATTTTATATCCAATAATATATTTATATGATGGTAAAATACACTGATAGATTATTCATGCACTACAAAAATTTAAAAGCAAATGTAACTATTTTGTTTAACAATTAACAATACAAAAATTTGGTAGCAATAAGATAAAATCTTCAAGATTAAGTAAACATTTTTAAGTTTTTAAAATTTAAAATTAAATAGATAAGAGAATAAGTTAATTTATACGGTAAAGACGTTATTTAAGGATTTTAGGATAATAGAATCGTTAAAGATAAATAAGCCTTTACCTCTCCTAGTAAAAACAAAGATTCTAAAATCGAAAATGTAATAAAGAAAATATCATCAAATGAATTAATGGGTAAAATATTCAGTGTTTTAGAAGATTTAGGCATATGATTAAAAAATATTACTAAAATAATAGTCGATATATAAATTCTATACAAATATAAAATTTTGTTATGAATTTAATAAGCATATTTATTATATGTTATTTTTTATTTAATAATTTAAATAATATGAATAATTTAATTAATAATAAAAAGATAAATAATATAAATTTAATTTAAATAGTTTAAAATAAATTATTTATAAACATTATATTTTAAACATATGTTTTTTATAAATATTTTAATAAAAAAAAAATTAATTATTTATTTCATTAAACAAAAATGCTTAAAAATTTATTTTTACAATTACTTGATTTCGATAATAAAAATAAATGAAAAAGGGACAATAAAACAAATATAATACGAATTAAAAATATACGTATAAATTATACAATATTTTATAAAGTTTACTATTTTAGAATTTTATATTTTTATTTAGATTAATAATTTTTTTTTTTCATATAATTAATAAACTAAATATATTTATAAAAAAAATTCATTAAATTTATACTTTTTAATTATTTGATTAATTATCTTTAGAAAATTTAGATAAAATTATTTTTAATTATAATTTTTATATAATAATAAAATTAATTTTAAACATTTTTATTTAAAAAAATAAATTCTTTTTTATAGTTAAATCTGAAACTATATAAAATGGAAGGAGAATGTGATTTTAATTATTAAAAAGATGAAAGAAACATGCGTACAAAATCTGATAACCCTAAAAAAAGGGTTAATATTTCTGAAGTAAATAGAAGAAATGAATAAATAGAAAAAAGAAATGAATAAAAAATTTAGATGTATTTAAAAAAGAAGATAGCTAAGATAGTGAAGAAGATTAAAAAGGTAAAAAGAAGGCAAATGATAAATAAATCAACACAAAAATGACTAAAGAAGAAAAACATAAATTATATGAAAAAGATATGGAAAATTGCTAGAAAACGATAAAAGGGAAACAAAAATCAAAACTTAAAAATAACATAATTTGAACAAAAAATAATAACTTTAACTAATAATCTAAAGAAAGTATATTCCTTGAGCAATAGCAAAAATTCTAATTTTCTTATTAATATATATATTTAAATTCCTTTTGCTTAACTTAAAAAGCTTAACTTTTTAGGAAAAATAAATTTTATTTGTAAATAATAAAGAAATTTTATATATATATGATTATTTTTATATTTTTTAATAATAATTTTGAAAATTATATTTATTTTTCTTTAAATAAACTTTATTGTTTTTTTTAAAAAGCATCGTTTGTCACAATTATAAATATATTGTAAAAAATTATTTTTCAAATATTTTTATAAATAATATAATTAATTAATTTTAAAAGAATAATATATCCTTTATTTTAATTAATAATTTAATAATTATATAGTTATTATAAATACGTAATAAAATCAATTATTTTATTCTTTAATATAAAATTTAAATTTATATCAAATAATACTTTTTAAATTAATATAAAAAATATTCTTGCATGTTACTTAAAAATAAAAGAATTTTCGATGTCATTAATTATAACGAGTTAATTAGGTTTTTAAAAATTTTAAGTTTTTTATATAATAATAAATATTATTTATATTGTATAATCTTAAAATATTATAGATTTATTTTCATATAAAATTTATAATAATTCTCTTTACATATATTTTAAATTTATTAAGTAAAAATAATTATATATTTAAATTTCTTATATATTTAATACTTATTTATATAAAAAATATGATTTTTTGATTTATTGATTAACAATAGCAAAACCAAAATTTATTATTTTAATTTATGATTTTCGAAAAAATGATAAATTCTTTATATTTAATATTTTTCTAATAAAATATAATATATTTTAAAATCATTATAATAATAATATATATAATCTTTTTATATAATAGACATTAATAAAAAAATATTTAATATTCTCTCTATTATCATATAAATAATAAAATATATTATAAAATATTTTTAAAAAAATGAAAGTGATTCTTGAATTCGATAAAAAATAAGTTGAACTTGAATAAAAAGTATTAAATTTTGTAGAATTAGAAGAGATAATATATAAGAAATTTCCAAATGTATCTAAAAGTAACACAATTTATTATTTTGATAACGAAGGAGATAAAATAAATATTTCTTGTGACGAAGATTTGTATGCAATTGAATCGGAAAATGAAGTAAATATAATTATAGATAATAATTAGTAATAAGAAGAACATGAAGAAGAATATAAAGAAATAAGCAAACCTGAATCTAAAGAAAAAGGCTAATAAACTATTTCTGAATAGAAGGATCATTCGATATAAGCTATAGCAGATTTTTAAGATAGTTAAGCCTAAACAAATTTAGAATAGAAAGACGCACAAATATAAATGAAGGTTGAATAAAAAGATTTCTAATAATAAAGTAGTAAACAAGAATTAGGAATTAATGCTTAGAACAATGAATAATTAAAATAATAATTTGAATATATGAAAAAATAATAAGAAGATTTTGAAATAAGAATGAATGAAAAATTAGCTCTATAAGAGAAATATTTAATGAAAAAAATGATATTAACAATAGAAGATAAAATTAAGGAATTGTAATCTAATGAAAAAAAAGAAATTTAATAATAAAATTCTCAAATTAAAAATGTTTTTGAAAATTATGCTGAAAAATTTGATAGTTTACTAAATATAAAAGATTCTAAAGACACTGAAAAATAGTTTCATTAATTATGTAGCGGATTAGTAGTTGAATTAAGCAATGTATATGATTTGCATTTTAATAGAGGTAATAATAATTAATTATAACATTAAAAATTAAAAGAATAATAATTAGAATAACAATCTTATATATATTAGTAAAATATATAAAAAGAAAAAGAATAAAAATAATAATAAGAATAATAACAATAATAAGAATTATAACAAATATAAAAAATAAAACAATAATAATAATAATAATAATAATAATAATAATAATAATAATTATAATAATAATAATAATAATTATAATAACCTGTAAATGAAAAATAAATTTAAAAATAAGAAGAATTGTAAAATAATAATTTATAAAATATTTAAAAACATTCTTAAAATGTAGTAAATAAGGCTAAATAGTTAGCTTCTATACTTTAAAAAAATTATTCTATTTTATTAAATTATGTTGAACACAATTAAAATCTACCAATAGATGAATTAATAATTAATGCAATGGAACCATAAATAATATAAAAATATTCTATGTGAAATGAAAATTAAAAAATACTTTTTTATTTAAAATAAAATTTTTAATATATAAAATAACAATCATAATTTTTATTATATATTTAAATATATATATATATATATATATATATATTTATTTATTTATTTATTTATTTATTTATTATTATAAATTAAGATATTTTATATATTTATTTTTTAACTTTTTGTTAATGACTATTTACTTATAACATATTTTTATAAATTAATAAGTAAAAATAATAATTCACAATTTTTTTTTTAATTCTAAACTTTTATTTTTATTAATATTTTTTTTCAATTTTTTTTTTATTGTTTAATTTTTAATTAATATTTTTATATATATAAAATAAAATAATATTATTTATTTAAAATATTTTTTATTTATTTACTCTTTCATTTTTTTTTAATTTTTATACAAATTTATTAACAAAACTAAATTTTTTGTATAATTTAGTATTTTTTCAATAATACAAACTAAAAATTATATTAATTATAAAATAATAATAAATTAAAAAATAAAAATTATTATTTATCTAAAATATAACTTTTTTATAAAAGTAATTAACAATATATATGAATAAAAAAATATATTATTTCTGTTTTTTAATTGATATTTTTTATAAAGTATTTAAAAATTATAAAAAAGGATATATCTATAATGCAATATATATTATAATAAATATAAAAATATAAATAATTAAATATTAATATTTAAACATATAACAAAATATATTTTTTAATAATTTATATTTTATATTTATAAAATAATATATATATAATATTTTTTCAAGAGACAGCAATTTAATTAACTTTTTATTTAATATAATCAAATTTATGATTTACTAATTCCTATAGAGCCTCAACCTTATATTTTTTAATATTATCAAAGTATTTTTAATCATAAAACTTAGTATTTAAATCAATGAAGTTATCAAAAAACTCTTCAATTAAAAAACAATCAATCATTTCATTCAAATGCTAAAAAGTTTATTTAGTTTCGTTTTATAATTACAAAAATTAATTATTTGATTATCCGTATTACATTTAGTATTAAAATAATTCATTAGCTTTTATTTAAACTTCATTAATATAATTAAATAGAATTTATTAAAAGAATGTTTAATCGACTTAATTAATTGTATTGATTTCATTTTTTAATTAATTATATTCTTAAGCATTTCCTTATTATTTCAAAAATCTGTTTATTTCGCATTTAAAGTTCTCAAAACACCTTAATTAAAGGAAGTTCTCTATTTATTATATTCTTGAAT